GAAGGGAAGAGAGAACATTCTTCCTGGCTCTCTAACCCCATTTGTAAGAAGGCTGAGAACTGGGCATGGAATTTGCCAAGGGGAATTGAGTAGGAATGCAAGAAGTGAGCGTTGAGAGGCAGAAGGGTGTCTCTAGATAAGACGGGTCTCAGGGAGCACTGCCATGGGCTCATGAAGGCTGAAATAACTTGTTACCTTATACCCAAAGAGCTGCATAGATTACTTTTTTTTTTTTCAATAAAAGGAAGCAGTTACTGGCTCTATGTAGTCTTTACCTCTAAAGCCAGGCATACCCAAACTGCATAAATTATATTAGTTAGAATAAATCTCTACTGACTTCTGGAATAATAATCCAATGAACTAAGTTTACCTCTCCAGAAATCAAGCACTGCACAGTGTTCTGAATGAAATAAAGCTGATCCTTCAAGAACATGGTCTTGAACTGAGTGTGTGCACTTAAACACTTTTTTTTTTTCAATAGAATTGTCCCTTCCTATCCCAGTTTCGCATAGTGGATTCAACCAACTCAGGATCAAAACCAGTATTTACACATCCCCAACTACTGTTTACAATTGTGGATTCCCAGCTACAGATAGAAAATACTGTTTTTGATCTTTGGTTGGTTGAATCTGCAGATGCAAAACCTGTGGATGTTTGGGGGGAGTAAAAAGTTATACCTGGATTTTTAACTACAGGGGTTGGCACTCTACCACTTTGTATTGTTCAAGAATCAACTGTATATCCTTTTACTGTTTTGCTAGTGGTTTAATTTTCTATCTTGCTATTGCTTGTTTGTCGTCCCCCTCAGTTCATATGCTCAAGTCCTAGTCCCCACAAAGGGCATGGTATTATTAGTAGGTGGGACCTTTGGAAGGTGCTTGAGTCTTGAGGGTTGGAATACACTTGAATGGGATTAGTGCTCTCATAGAGAGACCCCAGGGAGCTCCCATCATCTTCTGCCATGGGACAATACAATGAGAAGTCTGCAACTCAGAGGAGAACCTTCACTTATTAGCACCTTAATCTCAGACTTCCAGCTTCCAGAACAGCGAGTAATAAATATTTATTGTTTATAAGGCACCTGGTTATGGTATTTTGTTATAGCATCCTGAAAGGACTAGAATCAATCTTATATTTTAACATAGTTTACTGGATGAGACATATAGAATGTCATTTCACTGATTTAACACATGTTTGTTCTGACCAATCCTAGCAAACTAGTGGCCTGATGCACAAAATTTGTGTACTGGAGGGGCAATGTTTCCCCAGCCTGGCCTGTGCCCTCTCACAGCATGGGAGTCCCTCGATCGATTGATCCAAAGAGGTGGGTCCTGCCCACCTATTCAGGGTTCCTCAATGTACTACCCCAATGAGGTAGACCAGAGCCTGGGGTCCCGCCTCCATGTGTGTGAGGGGCTCCGGGACCCCCAGTGGAAGCTGCACTGAGCAGCCACCTGGACCTGCCTCTGCACCACGCACTCAGTGTCAAGCCCTGACCATACTGGTGATGGATTGTGACTGCATGAGTGCATGACGACCATCTAGCCTTTCATTAATATAGATTTGATGAAATTTTAATAATGATTATTTCCTTTAAATATTATTATTATAAAAATGCTCTTAAGTTCTAGAAAACAGGGATGCATTTTATTTATATTTAATATTCTACACATTTCTGAGAGTCTACTCTTTGTGAATTCTTCACTTTGTATTTCCCATAAGTGGTACATAACTAGGTTTCCTTTAAAAAAAATCTTCATAATTAAAAAGTGATGTTGCCCTTTTCTAGAGAATCTATAAACATATGGATACTGAAGCAGTCAAGGAGAGATTTGAAATAACCTTTCTGAGCTTTTAAATAGTTCTTATAAAATGGCTTTTCCCCCTGTTGGCTTTGTAACTGAGAACTGGAAGGCACTTTCCCAATGGGCCATTATTTCAGTCAGTGGCCCCAGCCAACCACCTTCCCTGTGGTGGGGATCATAGAGCAGATGGTACAGGCAACATGGGGGATATTATGGAGATGACATTAGAGCAACTATTCCACTGCTGAGATTAGTATTACACACTTTGTGTTGCATGGTAAACCTATGTTGTGTAGTACTTCAGAATTAGAAAATCTTTCAAAAAGTAAACTAACGATGTAGTGGTTAGGGAGTTTGCCCTCTGTTTATTATTTCTTTGAGAAGAGAAAGCTATTTTCTAATCATGTTGAAATTAACCAGTGTCTCTTATTAGGACTCCTAAAAATAGGAAGAATTTTGAGTAAATTTTTCTATTTGGCTAGGAATCCAGGGATGTTTGCTTTAAATGTTCTGCTCTCTAGACTATCTGACAAAAAGAATGTATTATCGTAGGGATTTCATTAAAAAATGAGACTTTGCATGTATTAAAATCCATTAAAAAGTAAAATGTATCAGTTTGCTATTGCTGCTCTAGCAAACTGTCACAGATTCAAATTTGGTGGCTTAAAAACAACACCAATGTATATCTCGTGATTCTGAAGGCCATTAATATCTCTGTTCTAAAATATGATTTCATATAAGTGTCATGAATTATGAATTCAATATATGTCTAGATTTTAGAAATGAGAACGATAAATATTGATTTCACTCTCAATATATATCATCTCATATTTATTATTGCCTTTTTTTGTACTCACATATAACTGTTCTCCATAAGTCCATTTAAAACATTTTTGCATATGCTGCACACATCCATTAGTCTCTGCTTTGCAAAGCTGTTTCCTTCTCCAGCCCATGGTCTTTCCGTTATAAGCAAGTTACTTCAAATTGTATTGTAAGGACTTCCTTTAAGGTGGTATCATTTTACTATGTCATTTTATGTACCCTTTACACATTTTCACAATCAGGATTCAAAAGCAATTACTCTAATTGGTTGCTGGGTATAAATGGGATATGTTGGCTACAAAGAATCAGCCTTAAAAATTATTTTTTGAAATGCTGACTTTGGTTGTGTAAGAGGGAAGCTTCTCAGCATAATGTGCATTTGCAAGCAGGGCAAAACCCAACTATGAGGAGTGTTAGAACTTAACTTTCTAGGTTTACAGGAGATGGTTATTTTTAAGTTTTGCTTTGGTCCCTGGCCCTAACTCAAATACTTAAATGTGTTTAGAAACAAAGATGTTTCTGGCTACTGAAAGAAAGAGCACAATGGATGCAGGTGAACACGTGGCTTTGGTTACAGTGACAGCTGATTTTTTTCTTGAAGGATATGTGGTGACTTTTTTAGCTCACTCACTTTTAAAGCAAAGAGTATTTCTGGAAGATCTGAGATTGTGTTTATAAAGTTTATCACTAAATCAATAACATAGGGATAAAGAGATTGAGCCAAATTTTATTATACATTCTGAGCTTAAAATTTGTTTTATTTTATCCTCATGGTCTGAATGACTACAGAGTATTCTCAGTTAATAACTTACTGTAGTTACAGAATATAAATACTTCAATTATATCTAGTCCAAAAGAAGTTCTTTCCTAGTCAGTTATTTTTTACCCTGGTAGGTATCACTTGTCTTGCTTTAGCCTTCTCCAATAGGTAAGGCAGAGAGAAACTGACTTTAGTCTGATCACCAACTCTTTTGGTGGTGGTTAAAGCTGAGGCAAAGACAGCAGAATGGCGAGGAACACAAGAATTGGCCACCATGAAGGTGTGCTTCATGGTACTCTGACTCTATCAAGAGAGTATGACCTGAGCTTGTCCTGTAGAAGCTCGCTCATATATTCCATTTACAGGTTCTACACATCCTTCGGTAAAGAAGCTGAAAAGTGAACTCTGCTCCGTTGGTACTTTTCAAGATACAAGGGACACCTAGCAGGCAGAAAATATATTCTTTGGTGTGTAACATCAGCTACAGTTAGAAGATAGAGGATTCAGGGCACAAAAAATGATAAAGGGAACATACAGATGTGTTACACTCACTATGCACTCTGAATTAGATCTACATGCAAGATAAACCATCTACCGGTTCTAATATTATGGAAACATCCTTTGTGCTTGCTTGGCTATTGTATTCTGACAAGTAATAATTTGATATTCAAGGAATAAAAAAATAGATAAAATTTAGTGTTCAGTTTCTCTGAATGTCTTCAGCCTATTTTTTCATGCAAATGAAGCTTTCTAAAAATGTTCACATTACTCATGCTCTTAATGAAATTTACATGTTTATTTGCTCATTTCAAAAAACCTAAGGCAAAAGTTATATTTGTAATGTGTACACAGTATATGGATATAAGCATTTCCTATAACACCTAGCTACCGGTCTTTTCATTTTGTACATCAGTCCAGAATTTGTGAACAAGAATTTGGCTGAAATCAGTCTCTTTCCCTTTTTAACTTAACTATTAAAGGTCTAATTTGGATATCTCATAAGTGAAATCTTTTTAAAGAATTGCTGGCAATAATGTGCCTTTATTATTCTTTTATTACTCTAAAGTCACCTGTTATTTTTCCCAAGTCACATATTTTATAGAATTTACATGCTATATTAAACATGAGAATATGTGTCTTCATTATCAAAAAGTATGTATGGTCATTTTTGTAAAGCAAGGAGCTTCCAAGATAAGTTCACTAAAGGCCTTCCAGATGCTATTAGATACCCAAAAGAAATGGTTCTAGAAAATAAATGCAAAGCTGAATATATATTTTACTCCAGGTGTCAGGTAGCAAGCAGACCAATATTTTACTCTGACAAACCAGGAGAGTGAGTGTTGAATAGAACCATAAAACATACATATGATAAAATTGTGTTCCTCTGTAGCTGTTTTTTTTGAAGGTGTATAGGCCACTGAGAACTCGGGAAAAGCCTCAGAAATACAGTGACTCTTATCGGTAGTAATGAGTGATGATTGTGTGGGATTGAAGACTCACAAGGATGTCAGTAGCTTTTGTTATAATTCAGAGAAGCCCCCCCCAAATAGCACATAACATTCTAAACTCTTTAAAGCAGAAGTCCCCCTTTTTCTCCCCTTTTATTGCAGGATTACAGAGTGAATATCTTTCTTCGTCAGAAATGGAACGATCCTCGCCTTGCATATAGTGAATATCCTGATGACTCTTTAGACCTAGACCCTTCCATGTTGGATTCCATTTGGAAACCTGACTTGTTCTTTGCCAATGAAAAGGGTGCCAACTTTCACGAAGTTACCACAGACAACAAACTGTTAAGAATTTTCAAGAATGGAAATGTTCTTTATTCAATAAGGTGAGTCACATACTTAAATTCCTGATTTTGGTGGAAAAGTATTGTTTTTTTAAATTTTTATTTGCTTTTATTGAGTGTTTTGAAATTTTTGATTAACTGCCTTCATTGTTCCACTTAAATTCCTTTAATGTACTATTTACAAATATGTCTAATCAATAATAGCACACCCAAGTTTTAGATCCAGAAACTGTATGAATAATTCTTGGAAATCCGCTTTTTAAACAAGTAGCCCAGGTTATTAATCAGCCAGGTCAGTGGGTGATTTAAGGGCAAATAAAATGGTAGCCAAATCATACATTGTGATTATATTTTTATATATGCATTCTCTTGTAATATTTATAGGTGAAGAAATATAGAGATTTGTTTTGCTGAGATTTATTTCCCATAAATTATTTTTCAACAATACATGTTTTTTTTTTTTAAATTTAGATTTCCCGAGCTTCTCTTACTATCCTTTAGAAAAGATTTTATTTGCACTTTAATTATTTAGAAGTTTTTTCTTAGAAGATGATGCAGCCTTTTAAAATAAATACCAAACTATAACTATAATTAATTCCAAAACACAAACATCAAGCTAATGTATTATGTTTTTCATATTTTCATATTTCATGTGAATAAATTTTCTTTTAATAAATACATTACTTCCTAAGGGTGACAAGGCGACATCACTCTACACTAACTGATACTTTTGTCACATTGCTGAAAACTGTCTAATATGTGTTAACATAATTCTGAATAATTCATTGCTACATAAGATATAAAGGAAGCTTTTAGACTTCATCAGAAATTTATCCCTATGCTCCCAAATGAATAAATGACTTAATGGCAAATCCCAGGTGTAAGCAAGAGAATTTTGAATTTTTTTTGAAAATTACTATTAAAAGTATAAGAATCAAAAGGTAGTGGGAAGATGGAACATACATATGGTCTCCATTCCTTCTGTTAAATATAACTAAGATCCCTATACAAATATATATAACAAACTTAAAAAGACTCGCAATAGTAGCTATAAGAAAAGTAAGGACTTGAAACCTGAGGGAATAAAATTTTTATAATCCATGGAATATAATAAAAATCCAACATTCATGTAATCAGAGTCTCAGATAGAGAGGAAGAATAGGGTATAAAGCTAAAAATATATTAGAAGAATTAAAGGCTGAAATATTTGCAAATTCTATAAAAGGCTTAAACCTCCAGATCCCAGGTATTGAATGACTCGCAAATATATATATCAAGTCACATTATAGACAAATTTTTGAAAACTAAATAAAAATTTAAAAAAATATATTTTATTGATTTTTAACAGAGAGAAAGGGAGGGAGATAGAGAGCTAGAAACGTCGATGAGAGAGAAATATTGACCAGCTGCCTCTTGCACACCCCCTACCGGGGATTTGCCCACAACCAAGGTACATGCCCTTGACTGGAATCGAACCTGAGACCTTTCAGTCCACAGACCAATGCTCTATCCACTGAGCCAAACCAGTTTCAGCTAAATAAAAATTTTGAAAGCATTTAGAGAGTAACAACACTTTACCTATGGGGGGAAAACTATTAGACATTTTCATCAGAAATCATGGAGGCCAGAAAGGACTGACACGTTTTTTTAAGTGCTAAAGAAAAGAACTGTTATCTGAGGATCCTGTACTCACTGAAAATATCCATCAAGAATGAAGGGGAAATCATATTTTTAAATAAAAGAATACTAAGAGAATTTGTCATCTAGATCTATCTTAAATGTGTAGCTACAGAAGTATTTCAAACAGAAAGGAAACAATAAAAGAAGGAACATTGGAGGATGGTATAGGGAGAATAAATGGCAATGGGAATAAAAGGAAAAAAGAAAAAGAAGGAACATTGGAACATAGAAGGTAGAAAGGAAACAGTAAGCAAAAATATAAGTAAATATAATGATAGATGTTTCTTTTCATCTTGAGTTTTCTTCATATTTAACAGTTGAAGCAAGAATTATAACATTGATGTGGGGGGGAATGAAAAACAAAAGATAAGATAACTTAAAAAAATAAATGTATGGGCATAAATTAACAAGACAGGTAATATTTAGTGTTGTCTAATACCCACTTTGCGGGCATATAATGACATTAACTCTTTGGAGATACTTTTTTTTAATGATATATAAAAATATAAAATTCATTTATTCTTCAACTCAGCAATTTTACTTGTAGGAATTAATATTACTTACGTGTTTATGTACACATAAGATACATTTACAAAGATGCCCACTTCACCACAGACATGGCAACTGCAAAAAGGTCCCCTAAATATTCATTAATAAGAACAAAGTAGAACACAATGATAGTCCCATATCATGAAATATTCTGCATGAGATAGATCTAAAATTATTCATAAGATAAGGCATCCAAAATATATTTAAATTCAAGAAACGTTTTATGATTATTTGTACTTAAAACACTCTATATATGTAAACATAACTGTGTATGTAAAAATACACATCTATGTACATCCATGCTAGAGTTCAGAATGATGCCTAACAACTGGAAGAAAATAACCAACTAATGGAAATAAGTGATTGAATATGGGTAGGAATAAAAGTGGCTGCAAGAATACATCACCAGATGGCATGAAATAATCATTTTGCAATCATGATGTTTAGAATATTTTCATCGATAGAATTGAAATATAATGTGTGTGTGTGCTACAAGATTATGAATATTTAGTTTTTTTACCATCTTATTAAAATTGGAAAATTATGCTATCCAATATGACTTGCTCACATTTCTTCTAATATTTTGAGAAAAGTTATGGAATAATTCAGAATTGCATTTTTGTGTTTTCAGTATGAATTCAGATGAAACAGGATGATGTCTCCCAGCTCCCAGTTTTTGTTTGCTATATCCTGGCTCACATGATCAAAGACTAAATTTGTTTTTCTATGAGTTGTTTTTGGAAATCTCACAGTACTTTGAAATCTTCAATTGGCAAACAGTTTCTTTGTTAACAAAAGTTGTGCTAGAAAAAAAAAATCTCATTCAATTTACAAATGGATCATCTGTGATGTTTCATGAGAGATCTGGCTTTTCTAGTTGTTTTAAGAAAGAAGCAGAATGTCCTGGCAAACCTGACCTATTTAACTTATCCATTTATCTGTACTTTCTCCTTCAACCCACTAAAACAAAGAAATAAACTAAATAAGGAATAAAATAGCATTGACACACAGGAGGTTGAAAGGAATGGAAAAGAAATCTGTGACAGATGAATGATGACAACATACTTTAGGAAGCTTGAAAGTGAATGCACTTGGGAAAACTGACTTAACAGACAGAAGTAGCTGAAATCTAAACCAAAGTGAGAACATTCAAAAGGAAGAAATATTACCCTCAAACTTTCAGAAATTTGAAGCAGCAAGGACTTCAGAAAGTAGTAACTAGACAAGAGATCACAGAAAAAGAATCAACTTAAACTTTGTAATAACACCAGCGAGCTTTCTACTCCTAATTTTCCTCATCTACTAGTATATCTTTTAGATGAGGAGCTACCCCTTTTTTTTTTGCCTTCTGACCAGAGCAGAAAGCAAGACAGAAAAATCTCAGAGAGCTTGTGCCAAGAACTTCACAAATAGTGACTTCAGGCACAGCTGGGTCTGTCATAAGCATCTTACCAAGAAATAAGGATTGCAAGGGATACACTAAATGGTGATATCCTTGTCCTCCCTAAAATGCTGAAAACAAGATAAAAAAGTTTACTGAGCAGAAGTCAGAAGAATATACCTAAGGAGAAATTAACTTGCCCAACAGAAAAAAATTTACAGATATTAACATTTGGAGAACCTCCAATGAAGAATGGTAGTCATGTAATCATCTCACAGATAAGACTATTTATTACTCAATGAACCATCCACTACTAACTAATTGAGCTCCAAATAGGTTTTAGTGCTTTGTTCTTATATATAAACAGACATTTGAGGACATCTTATAATATTAACAAGAATAAAAAAGAAGCAGATGTCAGAAGAAACATGCAAACGAAATAAAGATAAAGGAGGAAAATGAAGGAAACAAAAGGAGATGAATGATTTATGGGGAAGTACAGGGAGCAGAAGAGACCATGAAGATAATCTCTGAACAGATGAGACAATTGGTTACATGAAATAAGATACTCCTAGGAAAGGAAAATGAGTCACTCAGAACATAGTAAGAACAAATAGTAAACTAAAGTGGGCGGGGTGGTGGTGGTGGTGGTGATAGTAGAATACTTGGAATGATGAAGTGAAGAAGTTTCCCAAGAAGTAGAAGCAAGATACCAAGAAATAGAAAACAGAGACATGATTTGAAAAGCAGAACATCAGTTCGAGTCCAATATATGATTAGTGGGTGCTGACTGAGGCATAAAACTCCTGGGTTGGAGACAAAGGAATTTATTACTCACTGCTAGCATGCAACACAAGTGTCCCCATATTTGCCTTATTGTCCCTTGTTCTCAAGTCTCATTGGAACCACACAACAGGCCCAGATGAATATAACATTCACCAAGGGTCTGTGTCACAGCTATGAAACATGGAGTTTTGGACTTTTATAGCAAAATACAAGTCAGCCTTCTCTTTCTCCTGTGAAACAACATGATCACATCCCTCAAAACTGGCATCCGCATCAACAAACCCTAAGAAATGACAAAGGTAAAAAGAATAGTCAAAGCCTTGTGGTCTTGGTGCACCTGGCAAGATGTCTCCTGACCCCAAACAAGCCTCTACAATTTACTAGCTGTGACTTGGAGCAAAAAAAAAATATTTTGTTTTTAATTAAAAGCCAGCTTTATTGAATTGTAGCAAACTATAAATATTTAAAGTGTACAATCTGATAAGTTTCAACATGTGAATTATATTTTCATGAAATCATCAGTACAATCAAGAGAGTGGATATATGTATCACTCTCAAAAGTTTGTTCACAATCCTGCCCCTACTCCCCCATCTCAGAGCCACCACACATTTGCTTTTTGTCACTATAGATGAGTCTGTGTGCCTGAAATAATATATGTAAAGCACCCAGCATACTACCTGGCATATAATAGGCATTGTCTTGTTAATTTTATATTTCTAAAAAGAGAACAAAAATTAAACTGAACAACCACAACAATAAAAACCTAAACCACACACACAAAAAAAGCCTAAATTCTGATATTTTCTGGAATCCCCAAATTAACCTTATATGGACTCTTGCCATTGTCCTTATAACACTAAATTTAGAAATATTAGAAACTCATAAAAATACTTCTTATGTTCATGAAGAGCATAAAATGGAATGACAAAACATTTTTTTAATACTTCAATTAATGGTTGAGATAGACAGCATACTCTAGGGCAGTGCTTGCTCAAAAAAATGGGTAATATGTCAATTTTAATGAGGTCAGCTGTCACAGATTATAGTCATCCTTTTTAACATTACTACTTCACTAAGCCAAGACTTCTTAGGACAAAATTAAAAACGCCATATCCTGTTTATGTGTCTTGTCCCAGAATGAGAACTCGGTGTCCTCTCTCATCACAAAGAAGAGTCTCAATTCCAAAACAGTAGAATGTGATTAATTACCTTTTGATTTCGTTTTCTTTTGATGTGGTCAGGAAAAATCACAAAATTTACTTGTAATGTTTTGATGAAGAAATTCAATATCACACCCACCACATTGACACATATTTTTTTCATTCATACACTGTTAAAGAAGCAAATGTGTCCTGTCTTAAACAAAACAAGTATCAATAAATAAATGTTTTTCAGGATGTGATTTATGATGAGTTCTAGTGTTTTTCTTTCCCAAATAATTCCTTTCAAGCACTAAAAAAAAAAAAAAAAAAAAAAAAAAAAAAAAAAGAATTATGTAATGTCTCTCATTTTATGCCAGAAAAATAGCCAGGATATGAATTTGACATCACACGCATGGTGAGAGCCTGGAAAAGGTTCTCAGAATGCTATTTACTTCCGTACAAAAGGTCACAGAGTTCATTCTGCAAGCCAAAATTTGGAGCTGGCTGGCCAGTGGGCCTTGGATATCTGGAAAATTAATGTGCATACACTCAAAACGAACTTGTGCACACACCTCTAATAAACCCTTTCTCAAGACAGAGAACATCGTGTCCAACTGATTTTACAATTGCCATTTCAAGGGAGAACTTAGCAAATTTACAAAATCATGCTTACAGACCTACTCAATCTAGCTGAGCCAGGAGAAAATTGCTTTTGAATTGTAAACTCTATGACCCTCCCGGGAATCTTAAACATTTAGCAGTGTCATGTGTCTGTTCATTTATGTCTCTCAAACTATGTTCATTGGATCTCACCGAGAGTATTCACTGCAGAACACACACCATTACAACTTTAATGCATGGTCCGTACCGTAATGCCATTTTGGAGGATGTGGTTCTGTTTACTAGAGCTGGTAATTACTTTCGTAAAAGCTTACATTTTTACATGTGATTCAATCCAGTCATTTTGTGGCCATCCTATATAATTTGGGGGAGGGGAAGATAGGGAAGGCTGAGAGTGGTAGAATGTACTAGTAACCCTTAGTTACTAATATTTATTGAGTGTTTGCTGCTTGTAAGCACTTATCTAAATGCTTTACATGTATTACTAAAATATTTTTCACAGCTCTCCAGAACAGATACTGTCATTTTTTCATGTTAGAGAGGTGAAAACTGAACCATTATAGGGTGAAGTAATCTGCCCATGGTCATAAAGTTTAAGTAAACAACTCCGCCTAGGCACTCATTAATATACCGAATTTCATTGGGAATACTTGCAATGAGAGGGGCTGGCCAGAGAGTTCTCAGAAAAGAACTTGCTTTGAATAAACTTGGGTTTGATTAGATCTGGGTGTATTTTTCTCAGGTCCAGGAATTACAGAGTCTTGGTAATCCCTGAAGATATCTTGGTAATAAACTTTTCCAATAAAAAAAAATTGAGAGTGATGAATGGTTTTGAATGCCAACAATCAAATACTTTCTGGAAGAGGGAAAGTGCTGGTGTACACCATCCAAGTCACTTGGCGAGAAGCCAAATCAGAAGTTTGTTTGTTGAGCATGGAAAGATGTCACACCTATTCCAGAAGGCTGTTACTTGGCCCTGATAAGACCTGGTGACATGCTCTAGTCCCACAAGGGAAACCCCATTCTATCACCTAGAATTGTTAGTTCAAGGTAGGACTTGACGATTCTAGGGAGTAGATTCAGAGTATATTTCCCTGCTGAATACTGCTGGATATTCGTGACAACTTCTTTAATGCAGTTACAAAATGGCAGGGAGTTGTCACACAGGATTGCTTCTCTGCACTCCAATTTACCACGTTTAGAACTCCAATTCCCAGGATATACTTGCCTCCTCTAATATGCTCCATGTGATTTGGGGGAAGTGTGTTCTTTGGCATGTGGTATTTATTTTATCAATCTCACTCTCAAATTTCTTTTTTGAAGGTCTCTTCTGGAAATAAAGACTTCTTTCAGATGTCATAGCCATCCCGAAAGGGGAAAAATATAGATAAATATATTTGAATGGATGTTTAAATATATAGCTCTTCTCTCTCCCCGCCACCCCCCCATCAGATTTATATATAAACTGAGTGGCCAAATTATTATGATCTCTGAACGCATAATAATCTGGCCACTCAGTGTATATCCTATATAATAATAAGCTAATATGCAAATTGTCCCCTCGACCAGGAGTTCTACCAGCAGGCAGGCCGGCCAACCGCCCATGGCCCCTCCCTCTGGCCAGGCTGGCTGGACCCCACACATGCACAAATTCATGCACTGGCCCTCTAATATATAGAGAGAGTGTCCAGATTACTATGTGTTCAGAGATCATAATAATCTGGTCACTCAGTGTAAAGGTATTTAAGGATAAATAACAGCCAACTTGGGACAAATTTTATTTGACTGAACATTAGTCACTACCGACAGCGATTTTGCTTTCCAACTGTACCTTTGAACAATATGACATTCATAGGGTGTCATGATTTTCTTTTAAGAATAATTGCTTTGAATTTCTTCAGATTGACATTAACACTTTCCTGTCCGATGGATCTCAAGAATTTTCCGATGGATGTGCAAACATGCATAATGCAACTGGAGAGTTGTAAGTACGAACAACTTACTTTTTTCTGAATACTTTAAAACATATAGTCAATATAAAAGGTTCTTAGTGGGTTCTATAGATAAATTATTTTGTAATTGTTGTTGTCAGATATTTACTAAATAAGCATGGTATCTCTCATCAGGTATTGAGAGTCATGATGTCTATCAATAGGTGCACTCTATGCTATGATAAGGAAAGAAATTGGGGACCTAGGAATAATAGTTTTTAAGCTTGAAAAGTAGTTTTATGTCTCTATACAAATTATCAAAGGTAAAAGGGTAATAATCATTAAAACCAAACGATCACTTTTTTTACTGAGTACCTGCTGTAGATCAAATAGTTTGCATATAGTATTTCTCATACCATGAAGATATTGTCATTGCCATGTTTCCAAATGTGAAATGGTCATTCTGAGCAATTGAGGTTTGTGCTCCAGTTCATGAAGGTTTTCACAACAAACCACCTGGCTCCAAAGTGTGTGCTACTCTGAACCATTACGCTGCTCTTCAGCTAACATTTATTCAGAGTACACCCTGTAGAGTTTGTTATATATGTTATCTTGGGGAAAAAGAAAATGTTCACAGTTTATCAGAGATTCAGCCAAGCTAACAGACATTTTTTAAAAATTTTCTTCTTTCAGAGTGGATCCAAACACATCACTGATTAATGTCAACATATAAAAACTTTAGGTCCTTCTGTTTCTCTGAACTTATGTATATTTAGTCAACCCTAAATTAATTGGTATGCATGTTTAATTTTAATGCCATACAAAAATGTTATTCAATACTTTTTCTTATGGTACTATGTTATATCTTTTTTTAAAGTTTCATTTTGATCTACTCCTTGAGGAAAATTTAAAGGTGGATCTTAGGGTTTGCAGGCCTCAGAGGCAAGGTTTGTAGTGTGGTGGAGCTGTCACTAGATGGCGTGCCTACTTCATGGGGGAATGAGGTCACCCTCTACCTTGGGTTCTCCCCTTTATAAAATATATATATACTTTTTGCTGAAACCGGTTTGGCTCAATAGATAGAGCGTTGGCCTGTGGACCAAAAGGTCCTGGGTTCGATTCCGGTCAAGGGCATGTACCTTCGCTGCGGGCACATCCCCAGTAGGGGGTGTGCAAGAGGCAGCTGATCAATGATTCTCTCTCATCGATGTTTCTATCTATCCCTCTCCCTTCCTTTCTGTAAAAAATCAATAAAATATATTTAAATATATATATACTTTTATTGTTGACAGTATTAAAGATGTCTCCCTCTTCCTCCCCCTTTACTCCCTTCCACCCAGTTTCTACCCACCAACCAGGTCTTCACTACCCTATTGCCTGTGTCCATGGGCTATATATATAAGTATTTAAGTACTTTGTTTTATCTCTCCTTGTCCCTCCATCCCCACATAGAGGTATGTCAGTCTGCTCCATGCCTCCATGCTTTGGGTCTTATTTTGTTGGTCAATTCATTTTGTTTATTAGATTCCACAAATAAGTGAGATCATGTGATGTGTATCTTTCTCAGATAGGCTTATTTCACTTAGCATAAAGCTCTCCAGGTCCATCCATGTTGTTGGGTTCTCTTAATGTAAGGAAAGAAAATAGCTATTTCTCTTATAATAATACTTTCTTGTTAAATTTGAATGCGTTAATTTTACAAGTAGTTCTTAAATATTAAGCATACTCATGGAAAAAGTACTAAATTAGATTAAAATAAGATAATAAAGTTTTAGGCGGGGAGCTATTTAGCAATAAAAATGGGGAGGAACAACAAAGGATTCCCAGCAATGTAGATTTTTAAAAATCCATATTTAATAGCATTTTGAGGATAGGCTGATTCTGTATCCTGGTTGCAAAATTAGGTATATAGAAAGATATTGAGATAAAAATCACATGCAAAATTGTGTAAGGCAAACCGGTGCCCTAATTACTAAACCAGAGATGCCAGTTGTTACCGAATAGGCAGTGAGGAGCTGGCCAAGATTTAGGAGCAAGAACATGATTTGGTCAGTATTATTCTCTTAAAGAGAATAATAATTCTTTCAGACAAATGAATCAAGGATGCATAAGAAAATTTCATATGGCAGTTTTATTTTTAAATTTTTAGGAAACACCATACTGTTTTTCATAGTGGCTGCACCAATCTGCATTCCCACCAACAGTGCACAAGCATTCCCTGTTCTCTACATCCTTGCTAACACTTGTTTTTGATTTGTTGGTAATACCCACTCTGACAAGTCTGCAGTGATATTTTATTGTGGTTTTAATTTGCATTTCTCTGATGATTAGTGATGTTGAGGAGCAATTCCACTTCTGGGTATGTATTCTAGACAACCCAAACCACTAATTCGAAAGAATGCATGTATTCCTATGCTCACTGCAGTTATTTATAACAGCTAAGATATGGAAGCAATTTCAAGTGCCCATCAGTAGATGCGTGGATAAAAAAGTAGAGGTACGGGTATACAATGCAATACTACTTGGCCATAAAAATGAATGAAATCTTGCCATTTGCAATAATGAGAATGGACCTAGAGAGTATTTTGCTAAGTGAAATATACACGTCAGAGAAAGACAAACACCATATGATTTCACTGATATGTGGGATCTAAAGACCAAATAAACAAAATAGAAACAGATTGATAGATACTGAGAGGGGAGGGGCCTTCAACAACTAGTTGAGGAGTTATTTATTCAATATAATAATTCCATTAAAGATGGTAAGCAGCCGAAACCGGTTTGGCTCAGTGGATTGAGCGTCGGTCTGTGGACTGAAGAGTCCTGGTTTTCATTCCGGTTGGGGGCATGTACATTGGTTGCCGGCACATCCCCAATGGGGGGTGTGCAGGAGGCAGCTGGTCGATGTTTCTCTCTCATCGATGTTTCTAGCTCTCTATCTCTCTCCCTTCTTCTCTGTAAAAAATCCAATAAAATAATATTTAAAAAAAAAGATGGTAAGCATATGTTAATGTTGTACTGGTAGCACAAAGAAGAAAGTGACAAAGAAGAACAATACTAAGACTGAATAAACATAGCAATTTACTTAGAAAATCATTTTGTCTTAACTAGCAATAACTTTACATCCCTACAAGTGTACAATCATGACTTGGATTTAAAACCCTGGCTGATACTAATTCCTAGTGCAGGAAAAAGAAAGTCACTAAGAAGAGATATGTGGGGGGAATCAGAGGAAGAGTTCTATGGCAGAAATTAATGAGTAAACAACAACAACAAAAGTGTGAGCTAAGGGTAACATCAAAATATAAAAGCAGAATACATAACTTTCAAACCAGAGCTAAAAAAAAAAATACTGATTCATCAAATGTAATGTGAGAACAAAGAAAAATAAAATAAATAAAAATAGTATACATAAAGCATGGGAAGAGAGCAAAAATAACTCTCAATATTATCATAATTAAAATTGATGCAAAGGTAAAATCTATGTATCAAAATAGATTCTTAAGCTAGATATTAACAAATATTAAAATTCTACAGTATGTTGTCAATTAAACACTTTTTGAAAATACCATGCAAAGAAACTTGGGGGATATAAGAAAAGTGCACATTAGAGAAATATGTTTTAAAAAACTCAAGATAATAATTTCTATATTAGAAAACATAAATTAAAGGAAAAAATCATAAGAGAAACACTTGGTTTACATGCTGGTAAAGAAACAATGCTTAAATAAGGTATAATGATTATAAAAATGTCTTCATTTTCTTCAAAGTGTATGAAGACATTTTATAATCATTTCTTCAAAGTATATAAAGCAGCCAGAACTACAATTTAAAAATAGATAAGTCAATAACTTCCAAGTACAGGTGCAAATATTTGAACAGCATAATTTATTAATTTGCAGATAGAGAGAAAACTCAGTTTCATTTGTTTTTAGCAAATAAGAGATTTACAAAGATTCTGTAGTAAGCCATAAAAGATGCTTCAATAAATTCCTAAGAATCAACACATGATGGAATGTGATCTCTGACTAAAATGCAACATAATCATTAACAATATAAAATTACTATAAATTTCTAGATATTAACACGAATTATTATACATTACTATACAGTAATGTGTCTGGAAACTATTAATACCATGTACTAAATGACAGTTTAAAGAAGTAAAAAAATAACACAAAAACTTGGTACTAAATGACAAAGTACTAAGTATCAAAAATTCTGAGATACAACCAAAGTAGTTCTTTATCCTAAAAAACCATTGAGCTAGGCATTCCATTCAAGAAGACCAAAAAGGAAAAAAACAGAACATTCAAAGAATCACATAAAAATACAAGCTGGTATTTTGAAAAGTCTGAGAAGCTAGGCACACTTGGGAGAAACTCTTTAAGGAGAAAAATACTAAGTTGCATATAAAAAATACTAAATGAAAAAAATGTTAGAAATGTAGTAAATATGTTAGATTAAAAACAATAAAAGAAAAATTTGAGCAACTTTCTCTTCCAGTCATATGCACTGTTCTAGAATAAAGAAAAATCCTAAGGCAGAAATCTTAATTAAGAGCATCAGAAGAAATCTATTCAGATAGCTAAATTCATCATGATAAAATAATAAAATATTCAAAGAGCTGAGATAATAATGGGGGAGAAGACTTTCTCAATGATTTATATAAGAATGAAGCATAAAGATGAGGCTCCCTTCCCTGGCTCAGTTGGTTAGAGCATCATCCTTATACACTAAGTTTGCAAGTTCAATTTTCCATAAGGGCACATATAAGTCAATGCATAAATAAGTGGAATGACAAATTGATGTTTCTCTCTCTCTCTCTCTCTCTCTCCCTCTCTCTCTCTCTCTTTATCTCTCTCTCTCTCTCTCTCGTCAATTAAAATTTAAAAACCAGAGATGAGTCTACCAAGATTTCTCTCAATCATGGGGTTTGAGTGTTTCATTTATGTGAATTAGAAGAGAACAGGTGATTATGGAAAAAGGAGTGCAGAGGCTGATATCTGCTTAAAAATGCCATGTTTCTTGTGAAAATACACATTTAATTAGA